ATTGAAATGTTTCGTTGCAAGCAGTTGTTTGAGATTACACTTTGAGGAGGAAGTGTAATCCTTCCTCCAAGGGCTTCTGTCAGCCTTCACCTGAATTCATCTTCCGCAACATGTGGGTCTGGGAGTGCTTCATCAGGTGATCTTTACGGAAGAAAGACTTACCACAGTCAGCACAAACATGTTGCTTGTCCCCTGAGTGCAAAACTCTGTGTCTTGTCAAATGCTCATTCCTCTTAAAAGCACGCCCACATGTTTCACAGGAGAAAGGTCTGTCTTGACTGTGAGCAGTCATATGAGCATCAAGATGTTCTCTACGTCGGAAGCTGGTACCACACTCCTTGCACACATGTCGTTTGCCCAATGAAACACCATGAGCTGAAAAGTAAAGTACATAAGCAATGAAGTTGCTCCAGAAGATTTAACTCTGTTTAAAAAAAAATAATCTAGACGAATCAGGAAGATTAGAAGAATACCTTGAAGATGGATTTCAAAAGCAAGGTGATCTGCATAGAACAGGTTGCATTCTGGGCATGAGTATAATTTGGCACCATCCTTGGCTGTCATAACTTGCACTGGCCCAGCCAAGTTAGATGTAAGGGGTATCAATCCTGGACGTTTCTGTAACTCTGCTGGAGTTACACCATTCATAACAGAGGCAGAGACTCCACCCTTTCTTTTTCGAGGGAGAGTTCCGGCTCGCTGCTTTAGGAACACACAAATGTGAAGTAAAAAATTCCAATCCAATAAAAATAGCTATGAAAAAATAACTATCAGATGCTGAAACTTACTTGTTCATCAATGCAGAGATCGCTGTCATTATCACTATCCGAATCATTAGTATTTGTTTGGGCATCATTTTGTTTATCATTTCCAGTATGGCGTCCTGTCAAATCTTCTGGTTCATCTTTCACAGCATTCCAAATTCGTGCTGGAGCAGCTACAGAAATAAGCAAGATATTATGACTTAGAACTTAACGGCCCTGGAGCACTATACCAACTGCGGTAATTTTGAACACAATCAATACACATTTACCTTGACCCGGAGGGTATGCTTGTTGATTAGTGTAACCAATAGGCTCTGGGCCAGGGGCAGGGACAGGAGCAGCTGGAATACGAATGTGCTCTGCACTGTAGTTCCAAGGAGTCGTGTAAGGAGTCATACGCCTGAAAGATCATCAACAATTTAAAATGTGCAGCTCAATAGGAAAAATTGTATACCTTTACAAAATGTAACAAACATACGTGATCACAGATCCAGGCTGCTCTTGTCGTTGGAACGAAGTACCATTGGAAGTACCATTAGTGTTGTTGCTCGCATCATTCTGGCTCCGAGCATATTGAATGGACCCTTCAGCAGACTGTAGGTGGTTGACAGATTGTTGCCAATGACCTGTAGCACCTGGACTCTCGTTGCGATGTTGAGGAGAGTAGTTTGCCATCTTTCAGGCCAGGCAAATCCGATCTGAGCAAAGACAAGCGCAATATGACAGCTAGAACCCAACCTCATCATGACAACAGATTTCGAACCAGCGCGACAAGCGGTGGTCAGTCAATTACGAAAATATGAAATTATGAAAGACGGAGAAATTGGCAAGTGAGACTGCGAAAGTACAATGAATAAGCAGAATTAATGGTACGAAAAAATAACTACTGAATCGTCTTACCGTAACCTCTGATCGGCGAAGCAAAACTCGGTTTGGGTATCAGTAATAACTAGTCGATGCGGCTCTAAGATACTCCATTAAATGTATTATTAAACGCACTAGATGAATCAGAACGATTTCAAGAAAAAGGGTTGGAAATAAGCACTGATCGGAAGGCCGACAGTCGACATAAACACCAAACAAAATGTTGTTGTCTGAATCGGCGGCGAAAGGGGTGGGGTAAGGGAGGAGGCGTTCTCTGGTACCAACCTTCGAGAAATGAGGTGAGGGCCACAATATCTGCTCCTCCTCAAATGATGCACTTGCTGAGATAATGGAATTTTACAATTTTTTAATATCATTTGCAATTTCCCCTCCGCGCGATGTGGATAAATACATTATTGCACTGCGGGAGTGGGGGTGCGATGGGTGCAGTGTATCCTCGTTTCTGATTGGCTGTCACGCAAGGGATGGACAGCGGGGCGCGCGCTTCAAACGAGGGGGGTGAAAATGAACCACGACATCACACCTAGAGAGACGGTACAGGGCCGTACAGTCTCTCTAGTCACGTCGCGTCTCATCGTGGGGGTCCCTCCGCCGCCCCTCGCCGCCTACTAAGAGCTGAGTCCGCGCTCTGTTTCGGTCTCAGGTTTCGAGTCGTTTATCGGGCTCAAGCGATAATGGTTTTGCTTGTAGCGCTCGCACGGTCATCATATGACGGGTAAACAAAACGCGGCGGGGGTCTTTGGTCTCCCACCGCAAAAAGCTTTCAAGTCGTTTCGCAACGGCATTTCGCCGGGATAAGGAAGGGGCGAAAGGTTACCTACGACGATAGTGTCTTAAAGAAGTCATTGTGAAAGTGATAGGGAAACTGATATCCGGCAAGAGGCGTCGCGGGGGGGAAGGACATCTGGGCCAAACACGCAGTGTGGGCGTTAGGGGAGCGAGACGCAACCGTGCCAGAGGTGGTTTTTAAAGGGGAAGCGACCCCCCGTTCCCCTTCCGGTCAACCTCAAAATACGCCTGAAAGTAGGCAACCTGCGCCTGTGCATAGGCAGGCAACCCTCGTAGAATCCCTCGCTAGGCGGACTTCAACTTAAAACCGCCGCTGCCCAGAGCAAGGTGCGCAGTGCAGTGACGGCCAGGGCGGGGAAGTCCCTCTGGCAGGTGTTCACCGACATTCACACACAGCCAGCCCAAGGAGTGTTGATTTTACGGTGTACAGGGTGTAACTGTGAATGCCCAGTGTTGCGGGAATGCATACCCGCCAGGGCTGCAGAGGCCATGGCGCCTTACGGGCGAATTGGGTAGGCAAACCCGCAACACTACTGCGCATTCACAGTTACACCCGGTCCGGTACAGGGGTGGGCGCCGGCGGGCGGGCAGGCGCGTCGAGCGCATTATCGCCACTAACGATAGGGTGCCTTGTGACTCTGAGCGCCCGCCCGTAAGAACTATATATAATGCGGGGGAAAGGGGGAGGGGATAGGGCCCCGTCCTGCCCCACCAGATCGAGTTCACGGGGGGCAAACTGATAAGGGCTGTATTAATATGGAGCCGCGCCGCACCCCGATCCGCGCCAGTGAGTGTTTACTTTCAGAAGCGAGCGGTAGTCCCCAGTAGTGTTCCCCAGCTGCACCATGACGACTGCGACGGTGAGAGGCCGCTCAGGGGAAGACCAGCCGCGGGGCGCGAGATTTCAGGCTAAAGCCTCGTCCTCTCTCTGATATGACACAGGAGCCGATGCTGGACGTGTCCGAGCTGCTGCGGCCGGAGCCCGCCTTCGCCACCAAGCCCGTCGTGCAGTTTCGCGACTACACCGTGGACCCCACCGACCGCATCAAGGAGCGCGTCCGCAAGCTGTACCACGAGATGCACACCAGCATGACCGTGGACTTCGTCAAAGGTACCTACCTGCGTTCTGCTACTGATCCAGGATAGGGAACGACCAGCTGGATCCAGGTCGCGTCTGCTTTCTGCCTGCTGCCAGTCAGATCCCATGAATAAATTATTTATTTTTAAACATTATATTTTTTTTTCGTAGAACGACGCGCCAGTTGGCTCAAATTTGACAAGTTCAAGGCTACGATGCTGGAGGCGGTGGCCAAAATGTCAGGCTTCCTGGACGAGAGCGACCCGGATGTGGACGTACCCAACATCATGCATGGCTTCCAGACAGCCGAAGGCATCCGTAAAGAGCACCCCGACAAGGGTTGGTTCCAGCTAGCAGGACTTATTCACGATGTCGGCAAGATCCTCCACCTCTACGGAGAGCCTCAGTGGGCCACCACCGGGGACACCTTCCCGGTCGGCTGTGACTGGGGCCCCTCTGTTGTTTACCGCGAGACAAGCTTCGTGGACAACCCGGACGCCAAGCACCCCGTCTACTCCACCAAGTTCGGCATGTACAAGCCCGGGTGTGGACTCGAGAATGTACTCATGTCGTGGGGTCACGATGAGTACATGTACCAGGTGCTCAAGCACAACAAGACCACTTTACCTGACGAGGCGCTCTACATGATCAGGTATGGGCGGGTTGGACGAGAATCATTGTTGAAATAGCCCAATTGAGTGATGATCAATGAGCAACATCTTATCTTTTACGACAGATTTCATTCCTTCTACCCATGGCACTCAAGCGGTGATTATATGCACCTCTGCAATGACAAGGACTTAAAGATGCTTCCTTGGGTGCTGGAATTTAAGTGAGTATTGAGTTCTGGTATGAGTGGTGAAATTGTAAAATGCAAGAGACTGTGCTAGACAATTTTCTTCAATTTCAGCAAGTATGATCTGTACACCAAGACTGATGATGACCTCCCAGATGTTGAAGCTTTAACTCCTTACTACCAGAAACTGATTGATCAGTACATTCCTGGAGTGCTTGAGTGGTAGTTTGTCAGTAACTCTTAGTATTAATCAGGTTTCTGTGAGAAAATGTACATTTGTCTTTTATGTTGTTTTTGTTGCACATAAAAATATCTATTTATTACAATAAAAAAATGTCTTAATTTTGAACCATTTTGATTTCTTGGTTGCAATAAGAAATGGATTGTTAGAAGAAAAGGTCGACAAGAGATTGATTAATATTATTTAATCTAATACACGAAATAGTGTTTTACAGAGCTCACACAGCAGGGAAAAGTAGGAAGTCGGCATAATATTCAGTCATTCCCGGGAAGATGTACACAACACAAAAGACAGACAATAAGATAGTGCACAAGATTTTAAGACAACACACCTTCCACACAAAATATCACACAACACATTCACACACTATCACAAAGTAAACCAAGAAAGTAGTACAAATATTTACACAAAAATAAATTAAAACTACTTCTTCCCAGGAAAAATGAAGGCTGGCAATACAATGATAAACATATGTGTAAATATCAGATTATCATATATAATAATTGTGATTGAAGTGATATTTTCTAATAAACAAATCTCTGGGTCAGCAGACATAAATAATAACAATTTGGTTTATAGCCTTCTAAAAACAATACTGAATTATGCTGTTTCTGTCTGCTGGGAAAAACAGCGAAAACCTATTTAATAAAGGCTGAGTCTATTTACAAACAAACAAAAACAAAGAAAAATATATGTTATTAGAGAGTTTAAGGAGCATGGCGCAATGAGGGCAAAAAAATGTCTAACATGATGTGATTTGAAGAAAATTAATACAACGAACAACCCTTGTCCTCTCTAAGCAGTCTTTGTGTTACAACAATTTCTTTTGAATATGCCTTAACTACAGTAAAATTGATCTAATATAAAACATGTAATCACTGCAAAGCTATTCAGCATAACATAATAAAGCTCAGGCTTAGGGCATAAGAGGTAATACAGGATTTTTTAGATTGATTTTTTGATTTTTTTTACACAGCAGCTTCCTAGAGCTTTCTTAAGCTCACTAGCAAATGCAGATAAGTAGTAAAAAATGATAAAAATGGAGAGAAAAATGCCTGCAACGTCTGACCCATGCTTCTATAGTCTAATGATACTATTATAACAAGTTTTCTACATTATATTACCTATACCATAAATTATGTTGGATTTCTACTGTGTGGGGGTGTTGCAAGAAGTGAAGGTTCATGTGCAAGGGGTATTGTTGTATCCATTGCGCCAATTATTTGCATGCGCTGCTCTGGATTCGGCCCATTACATTGAGAACAAATATAGTCTTCTTGTTCCGAGATATCACCTCTGTCAAGTCCTACACAATGCAAATGGAACCACAACTCACAAGCCCCATCACACTGCACCCATGTGACCTCACAACCAGTCGGTCTCAAACAGGGCATTGCTGAACAGTCTTCATCCTCTTCTTCCTCCTCCCCCTCCGCAGCTGATTTGTCATTGGAGACTTCCTGATTTACAGGACGAGCTGGTTTCTTTGCTCGTTTAGGTTTGCCACCACGCCTACGGCTCTTGTCATCATCAGCTTTGCGCTTCATTCGCCTTTGTTTGTCCCTGAAACGTTCCAACTCCTTACATTTGTTTTCTTGACTTGCTTCTGCTTCCACTCTGACATCAAGCTCATCAGGTTCCACAGCGGAGCTTTCTGCATTAGCTTCTGAATTTCTGAGAACGTTCCATATGACAGAACTCTCTTCCAGATCTAATTCCATAAGATCGCCCTCAAGCATTAACAGCTCCAACTGAATTCTAGACTTGTCAAGGAGAACTGATGAAGGTTTCTCCTGCCTGGGAACTAAAGGAGACTTCCTCATGTGCTTACTTGGAGACAATGCAGAGTATGTGTGCTCCCCGATTGACGGAGAAGGTGCGTACAAGTCCTCTTGTGAGAGCATCTTCCGGGCTTTCTCTTTCCAGTTAAGGGCTCGTTGGCATAGGCTATGAACAACTCGTGCCTCAACCATCTGCACACCCAGCTTTTGAATATTAGAAAGCAGTTGAAATACTGCTTTGAACTGAGGTCTCTTGGAGCGCTGGCATACAGGACATAGGAACTTTACTTGACGAGAAGTAACTGCTCGAATGCGGTCCTCCATTGTTGGTGCCATTGTATCATTTTTCTCTGGGAGTGGTACACATCTGGCATGGAACCAATCGTAGCAGATTTCACACTTTACCATGACACCTGCAAATGGTTTCTTGCAAATACAGTAGGTTTTATCACCTAAATCTTTAAGCCTTTTCTGGGTGTTTGTTTCTTGAATATCCAAAACTGCTGCTGTTTCATCTTTAACTGGATCTTTGTCTTTCTTGACAGGTTCACTATCAACTCCAACCTCTGTGCGAGGAAGAAGTGCTTCCACAAGAGACAAAGGTGAATCACGGAACATAAAGGTGCGGAAAGTCTTCTCCCGCCAAGTACGAGCATTTCGTATGCGTTCTTCCCATTCAGCCAAGCCTGGGGGTCTTGCTGGACACGCTTGCCCTCTCAAAACAAGGGCTTCCACTAGCTCTAGCTCAGGACCATCAGGCACAGCCTGAAGTTCAGCAGCTTGAACTTTCCACTTAGCAGCTGTCTTCACAGCATCCTCAACCTCGTTCATTTCAGGAACAAATACTGACATCTCTTCAGCCTCATGATCTAAGCTCTCCAGCTTTTCAAGAGATGCTTCTTGAATCGCAGTCTTAGCACGAGTTTGCCAATTTAATGCTCTTGACTCAAGTTCTGAAAATTCCTCCAGAAGCTGTGTCAAGACTGGATGCCTTGGGGTGGGCAGATCATCACAGGCTGCCACTAAAGAAGTCACCTCATCGAGGTCGGCAGCTGCTGCATTTTGGAGTCTTACAGCCTTGTCTAACCATTCCTCTTGAAGACACAAGTCTTTCAGTGGTGAAAGTTCTGTCAATTCGACGTCCAGATTAAGACCAAGTTCTAAAACTTCACGAACTTCTTTTCCTCTTCTCACTTCTATATTAGGCTCCTTGCTCATTAAAGCAGCTGCTTTTGTTTGAAACTCCTTTACTTTCTCTAAAACATCTTTCACAGCAGCACCATCCCGTAGAATACAAGGAAGCTCATCAATTTCTTCTACAAACAACTGCAGCTCTTCCACAGTAAGCTTCAGTCTTGGTTCTTGAGAAGTACGAGTACGGTTGCGAGTTTTTCTGCCACCAAGTTGAGATGCAACATTTGCGCATTTAGTTGCTTCCTGGACAGAAACTCGTAGAGCTTGCAATAGTTCGGAGTCTGGAAACTTCTTATCTTCTGCCTCTTGTAATAGAGCTTTGAATCCTGCAAGGTCCAGTGTTTTTGGTGTGTTGAAGTCTAGAGCGTCTTTAACTGAGGACACCCAATTATCAAAAGATTCAGCCCTTAGCTTGATATCCCGAAGCATGAGAGGAAGCTCATCTAATGTGTACCGATACCAAAGAGTATGGCTTGTTGGATCACAGGAGCAGAGATCAGTGTAATGTCTCAGACATGCGAGTAGACGTTGCTGGCCCTTGGGATTAGCAGTTTCACAATCACAAGTCACTGCTGACAAAAAACAAGTGGTTTTACATACCTCACACTGTCTTTCATCATCTGGCATTGATTCAAAATTCTTCCTCTCAGCTGTGCGCACTCCCCATTCCAAGAGAGACTTTCTTAATTTCTTCTCACTTTCCACCATCACACTCATGTCTTGATAAGCCGCTGCTGCAACACCAAGCTCCAGCTCCTTAGGATCTGATGCCATTCCACACACCAATTCATCATGGGAGAAGACGCAGAACCGTCTCAAATTTGAGTAGTGAGTAATGCAATTCCTTCCTAATGACAACCAATCAGCAGGAGCAAAATTAACAGCTTCAGCAAAGTTGAAACCCTGGTTAAAGCCAGCATGGTAAGCACGGGGGAAGGTCACGACAAACTCCCCTGCGTGCTGGTCACAGCGAAATACTGGCACTCCATCATTCATGAGAATATTGGGGTTCATTATGGTCACCAGCTGGTGGAGGAGATCAGGTTGTGACTGAAACAATTCAGGGGCTGCTTGTTTCATGGTGTCTTCAAAAGCTTCAGCTGAACTTCCAGGTACACCATACCATGTTTTGGGTTCACCCCAATGCAAATAATTGATGGAATAACTCCAATGGTCTTCATTATGCCAGCAAAAAGTGGCAAAACACATTCCAACATACATCCATGGAACTTTCATGCCAGATATGTCAGCATTTATATGTCCTAAAACTGAACCTTCCAAAACTGGAAGATTATTGAGATTCCAATTAGATTTGGCATATTCACATGTTGTGTCACTGGAGTTTGTGGGAAAGCCAGAGCCATGATCCATGGTATGCAAATCCGCTCCGTACTCAACAGTAACATCTTCATCAATAGAGGACACCAATCTCCAAAATTCTTTTTCAACCAAAGATGTTGGTACAACATGCACAGGCATATTGAAATATTCCGATTTAAAACGATCTGCCATTTCACAAAACTGCTGAAGACTATACTCTCGTTGAGCCTGTTCAAAACCAAAGGCTTCCAATGGTTTGCTAACTTCTTCAGCTAGACATTTAGGACAGCGCCAGTCACCTTTTGGAATCTCACTCAGAGGAGGAACCAGACAGAAAGTATGATAACTGTCATCGCATCCGTCACATAATAACATACTTTCTTCGGCATCACCCCTTTCACATGTCTGGCACACATACTTTGCCAAGGGATCATATTCATGACCCCCTTTCTTGGAGTTTTTCTTTTTGGGAGACTGCTTCTCATTGTAGCCAGCCATCTTAGGACCTGCTCCATAGAAGAGAAGTCTGCGAAGTTCCTTGCTGTCTGGTGAGGTTGGATCTTGTCCATCTTTGACAGGGTCACAGGTACCATAACGCTTAGAACGCCTAGCTGACTTTTGGCTTGCTGGTGGCTCAATGGCTTGACGGCTTGGAATCTGATGTTGCTTGTACTCTTCACCCTCTTCATCGTCATCAGACTTGGGTTCAGACTTTGCTTCTACCTTAGTTTCAGCTTTAGGTTCCAATTTTGGTTCAGCCTTCACTTCTCTTTTAGGCTTTGCTAAGTTTTCTGTAGGTGGATGTTTCAAAAATATGTCATATGGTCGTAAAATTCGATCATAGTGATGCTTTAAGAGCAAATAGTGGCCTCTTTTAGGAGGATATCCCATTTTCATTGCTATGTCAGACCACAATTGCTCTTGGGCAGCTTTATCTTTCTGCCTGACAAATCCTTCGTAGTTATCATTTGTTAACTGTAGCACATAACGATGCAGGGTATAGAGATCCAGAGCTTTCCTATCAATCATGGGAATTTTGAGGGTTGACCCTTGTAGTTCCCAAAACTTTGCAATCTGATCAAAAAAGTTCAGTTTAACTCTGGTCTTTGCTTCCAGTTCATTTAACCTCTGTATTCGAGGAGTAAACTTAAACTTATCAACATCAACTGCAAATGGAGGTTGCCAGTCATTGGGTGGCCTTATTTTGCAGATACCTGCTTTTTCAGCAATTGGCCTGATTTTGGCAATATATGCCAAAGGATCTTCAAATTCTTCTGGAGTAGGCTCGAACACTGGAGCCTCAGGTGGTGGAGTGAACTTCCAATCTTCAGCTGGAAGGGCTTTCCCTGCCTTGTCAGCAACTTTGCTCGCCATTCCTGAAAAAGAAAAGAAAGATGATTAACTTAAAATAACTGAATAATCAATACAGACCATGTAGACAATATTACCCATTGTATATACGCAATTTAATAGCATTTTAACTAATTAGGTATGATCCCAATATAATTGAAGTTTCCCACACACAAAGAAAAAAAACACAAGAAAGGCCTGATTGATGAATATATCAGGGCCAACTTACAAAAAGGAAAAATGGTCAAGGTGCTACCAGTTATTGTATTTCACGCTTATTTTATTAACCACTAAAGATTAGCACATTTATGTAGCATCAATAAAGGGGATACCTTACATATATGACCGCCAACCTTAATAATCACAGCCCAAACTAGTTCTATGGAGGAAAAAAAACATGGATAAAAGGACGTGTGAGTGGACTGGAACCGTGCCCAATGAATAGATGAACAACTATTCAAGCCTACTCTTCTGAGCCACTAACATACTTTCATTATGTCAATTAACTAAATAAGTTTTAGAAGACATTGAAATCAGCAGTTCTATTAACACAGACTTAATACAGTTACACATTAACTTCACAAGATTTCCATGTAAAAAACATCAAGAAGTCATTGTCCTATTTAACCCTTCTAAACAAGACAAGATGACTGACTTATGCAATGAGGGGCCCACATGAATCCATGCCCATGCTTCACAAGTCCTACACTCAAATGTGTCAAGTAGGGGTTTCTCGCGTCTAAGACACATGTTTCCTTCAACAAGAGTAAAAAAACTGAGGCAAGATACCTTTTTCAGACCGTTTTAGCGAGCACAGGATGGCTTTTCCAGAATTTTACATCAGCCTCGTCCCCTCCCGTGCCTGTAGCATAGGCAACCGCAACGCACAGACTGCATCAGATGTTTAAGAAAACGGAACCCCCTCTGATTTGTTTAGAGTATCTTTCCAGTCACTTGCCTCAAACGAAAGAAATAACCGCCACAAAGTAAACCGCTGAGGCCTTTCAAGCACTTGCAATATCTCTCTCAAATGACAGCGGACTGGTTTGTTTGGTGGAGTGACGACTATCACGATGCTGGTCTTTACCTTGATCAGGGCTCAGCACTTCGTCCCGATGGTCGATCAAAAAAATGCACCCGATCACGTAGAATTACGCCCAACAACTTGGAACTACGGCTTCTCGCTACATTCTCCATCTAAGAGAGTACACTGAAAAGTACCCGACAGACGGAGGGACCTAGCTTTGTCCCTTTAACTCCCGTTCACAGCGAGGAAACTCCAGTAGCCGATAACTATGCGGGGTCGTGAGCAGCAAGTGACTCACTTGTGCGACGCTTACCTTTCGCTTTCCCGTTCACATGTTTCATCCCCTGGGGAGGCATCTTGATTAGAAGATCGGCATACCAACTTGAAGTCAATTTGTCAAATAACACTTCTTGAAAAGGTAGATACGCGACACACGGTACGTGACGGGCAACGCATTGATCATGGACTCTACTAACAACCCACAGCCTTCACTCCGTACTCCGTGTTCTGCTCCATGCGCACGGTGAAAACCGAAGGAAAAAACAACAAACAAAGTGTTTTGTGTATGAACGAACACAACAAGGCGCAGAGTAGGCCTCTCTCTCTCCCTCTGCAAACTTGGGTCACTTTAAATTTGTTTTGATGCACTAGATTTGTTTTCCCCAATGGTTACGATCTGTGTGAGTATCAAGAACAAATTACAGTTGACTCCCTCTAGTTGTAGATCCTGTCTAGTCAGTTGAGAACGGGCACCTACCCAACTTAGGAGCTAAACTTGTCAGTTAACCTTGATGTCAATATCACAGGTTATTTTTTCGCCAAGTGCACATAATTACATGTCATATGACTGCTTATAAACACAATTTTTTTTGTCAGTTATGAAGTTAGTTGATGGTTGGTTCGAATATTGTTATTGTATGTTGAGCTTGAACCTACTGTCCTTCATTCACAGATGAAAATCAGCCAAGGTGGCCTCTTCGAGTAGGACTTTTGTTGGCCATGGAATGGCCTCACTTGCTGCCTGCCTCTTGGCAGGCCTCTTGGTCTGCGTTCCTCTCATCCATGCAGCTGCACAATCAGCACCATGCGACAAGTCACGGAAAGTTTTTACTGAAACTTGGGGCATTGTCACTGATGGTCCCACAGGGTCCAATTACACCCAGGATTCTCATTGTGAATGGCTCATCAAAGGTGAGCTCTATGGGTTAACAAGCGCTTATTTTTATTGCATTGGTGTGTCAGGGTGTGCAGTGTCAACAATTTCTCTCGTCTCTTTCCATCTTTCAGCAAACAACAGCCAGCAGTTCATCACTCTTAGCTTTCGATCCATGGGCACAGAGTGCTCCTATGATTATGTATTTGTGTATGATGGAAGCTCTTTCAATTCCCCTTTACTAGGAAGTTTTAGTGGCAAAACTGAGCCTCAGCAAATCACTGCTGTTTCAGGATCTGTAGGTGTCAAACATATTCAATCTAATTTTATTTATGCTATTTTTATAATTTAATCACTATGTTATGTTTTTCCAGATGTTAATTTTACTCTATTCAGATACAAATTATGTACTTGATGGCTTCAGAGCAGAATTTTCTGTTACTGACTGTCCTCGCAATTGTTCAGGTCATGGACTCTGTGTGAGACATGCTTGTGTCTGTGAAGGGGATTGGGGAGGGAAGGATTGTGGAGTAGAATTATGTCCTGATGACTGTGGTTATTCACTTGGCCGTGGCATCTGTAGAGCAGGAAGATGTGAATGTGCTGCAAATTATACAGGACGTGCCTGCTCTTTGCATCGAGATGATCCTGAAGGCAATAGGTATTTATTTTGTCACTGTCTCTCACTCCTTTTAGAAAAATTAAAAATTTCTTGTTTTATCTAAAAAAAATGTCATCTAATTTTCTATGACTTCATCAGGTGGCATCTATTGTCACATTCTGAGGGAGGATTTACAGCAAGAGCTGCTCATTCGGCAGTTTATCTTAAAGAAACGGATTCACTTTATGTATTTGGAGGCTTTGACCTAAATAATGTGCTTGGAGATCTAGTAGTGTATCGTTTCATGTCAAGCCAATGGGAGGACGAATCTGGGAAGCAAATAGGTAAGTCATTTTTCTTTCAGTCATTTTCAAAAACTTGTTCTTGTTCCTGATTGCTATTTACTTTTTTAATTTTAGAGGGAGCTGCGTCATGGTCTGCACCTCTTGATCCACACACTCTAGCTGATGTTTTGGAACAAGTTGGTCAAAGTGGGGAGGAAAGATGGGGACTCCGACCTAAATCATCATTTTTAAGAAATTTACTCTTCTCTGTTGCTGATAATGCAACTTTAAAGGTAAAACATCGCACAGCACAAGAGAAAGGTCAGCATCTGGCGCGGATTCCAAGGGAAGTCTCATCCTCAGAGCAGCTACCAACTGAAACAGCACAGTCTACTGTTACTGAGATACCATCAGATTCATCAGATGCACCAGAGGCATCTGATATCTCATCAGACCCGGAAGTGAATGAGGCTGAACTCTCTGAAAGTGTGCATGAAACAGAGTCTTCCACCCCTACACCTCCCAAACTTACCTATCCGCAGAGGCCAGCTCCTCGATATGGGCATGCTGCATGCAGGTATGTATTTTGCATCCCTACATTTTTTATCAGCAGTGATAAACTATAAAATTCATATACTTTACTCCTACAACAGGTGTGCAGATGGTATGGCATTATATGGAGGCAAGTTATCAGATGGTTCTCTATCTGACGATTTATGGTTGTACAATGTACATTCGAGGTCTTGGTCATTAAGAGCACTACATTCCAAAATTCGTCCTCCCAAGCTCACTCGTCACTCATTAACTTTAGCAGGAGATTTTCTTTATCTCTTTGGAGGTAGCACAGCTGGGGGAGACTTTTCATCACAACTCTTTCGCATAAAACTTGCCTCGGGTTGGTCTTGAAAAAATTATACTGTTATTTGTTGCGTGTTATCTGTTATCCTTTCAAAAGCTAAATTGCTATCTATTGTGCACAGGTGAGAGAGGTGCCGATTATGAGCAATGGGAGACAGTACATCCTCGTGGAGGGAAAGAACTAGATGTCAGGGTTGTTGCACATTCCACAGTTTACCACCCAGCGTCAAACTCCTTACTTGTGTATGGTGGAGTTGTAGCCGGTGTGAAACGCTTCTCAAAGCTCTCAGACCGAATGTTTGCATTCCAGCTTGATGCTCGTCATTGGAGTGAATTGCATTATCCTAGAGCTCATCTTCCTGATACTTATGTACCTCGTGAACGTGCATTCCATACTAGTACAATAATAGGTAAGAAGAATGACAATTATTTCAAAATCTAATCTTTAAATATCATCCTTGAAAACTAATTTACGTCTAATATCTACCTTTAGGAAATTATCTTGTTGTGTTTGGTGGTTATTCTCACCGTCATAATAAAGAGGAAATTTGTTATGATAGTCAATTATATCTCTACCATCTGGGATGTCACACGTGGGTTAACCATGAAGTTCTCGGAACTCATCACCCTGGTTAGTTCTGGATTTCGTGTTTAATAATCAAAATATTACTTAAGTGTTTTTAAATTAATTCTTTTTAAAACAATTTATTTTTATTTATTTTTTAATTTTAATTCATTTGTGTTAAAGCTTCACGCTACCCAAAGCAACAGGGTGTATTTGCTCATGCAGCAGCTGTCCGTAATGGAAATACTCTGTTGGTGGTTGGTGGCTACCATGGCAATGTAAATGCAGATTTACTTGCTTACACTTTGCCTCCAATGCTTGCAAGCCGAGAGGGAGAACCATATGAACCTGATCAAGTTTGTGGGAGGTAATTGTTTTTCTTTTTAAGTGATCCAATCTATTTTGTTATGATAGCTGTTCACTCCTTACACTTAGCTTTGGTTATGATTGGTGTAGAAATAACACTATGTGTTGTTTTACAGACACCATGTTCGTGTGGAATGTACAGCGAATCCAGAGTGTGGGTGGTGCTCTGCAGATGATGTCTGCTATGGCCGTACAGTAGGAGTCAACTGTACTACTAATCTTCAAACAACCCGATGCCTTGGTGTGTGTCCTGCTCTAGGAGACTGTCATTCTTGTCTTATTCACGGAAGTGCTCCAACTGCTTCTGCAGCCTTCAAGTTAAGATTAGGTCAATGTACCTGGTGTGTGCAAAATGCAAGATGTCACCACAAAGATGGTCAGTAGAATTTTTTCCAGATCCATTTGGTTAATAGAATATGTAATTGTACATACTTTATGCATTCATGTCTTATGTGTTCATCAAATTTGCCACTTATACTCCAGATAATTATGGAGTGTGTGGATTACGAGAGGACACTCCCTCAGAAGCCCCTGGTTGGTGGGGTCCTAAAGGCACAGAAGTTACTAGAGTAGAAGAATGCCGGGTCCTGGATAGACGCCCTGGTTTAACTTTTGTTCAATACAAGCACCCAGCCAATTGGTCTCAGCCAGATTCTGTAAGTCATTGTTTATAAAAATAAGT